CTATCTATCTATCTATCTATCTATCTATCTATCTATCTATCTATCTATCCATCTATCCTCTATCCTCTATCTATCTCTATCTATATATCTATCTGCCCTCTATCCTCTATCTAGCTATCTAGCTATCTTCTTCTATCCTCTATCTATCTCTATCTATATATCTATCTTTATCTATCTGTCTGTCTGTCTGTCTGTCTGTCTGTCTACCTACCTACCTACCTACCTACCTACCTACCTACCTATCATCTATCTCATCTCTATATCTCTCTATATCTATCTATCTATTTCTATATTTATCTCATCTATCTATCTATCTATCTATCTATCCTCTATCTATCTCTATCTCCATCTATATATCTATCTTTTTCTATCTACCTATCTTTATCATCTATCTATCTATCCTCTCTCCCTCCCTCCCTCCCTCCCTCCCTCTCTCTCTCTCTCTCTCCCTACCTACCTATCTCTCTCTATACACACACACACACACATACATAAACACAAACATATTGTGTTTTACATATCTTTTCTATTAATTCCATACATGACATCCCTTATATACATTTAATCCTCATATTTTTTATTTCATACTATTTTTATCTACAGTCTTGTATTTCCACCTCTTGTTCATCTGGGGTTTTGTGTTTGTTTTGTAGTTCCTTGATCTTTTTCTCTTTATTGCTTTCCTACTTTTTTCCCTCTTTCCTCTAGCCAATCCTACCGTAAGTCCCATACTGAGCATAATACTCGGATTCCTCTTTGTCTTTTAGCTCTTTTGTGAGGAATAATTAAGGTGAAATCTGGGGGGGGGGGGGAATTAAATACCTAGTTCTACATGTAATTACGGCAGCAAGAATCTCATATACACTGAATTGGGAAAAATACACAATACCAACGGAAGATAACGTGATGAAAAAAACATTGGAATGTGCCAAAATAGGGACAGGCTCACTAAATCGTAATTTTTAAAGAGCCACCGTCATCTCTGTCCTGCAGCGGCTCCTCCTCTGACCTGCTGTTGACTCACCGACTGTCCCTTTCACTTTAACGGGACGGCTGGTGATGCGGGAGGGACACAGCAAAGTGAGGGACATGGTGAGTGGATTTCCGCTTGCAGGCCCTGCCCTGATGGATCTGAAATGACAGGTGCCCTTTGATATTATATTTCTAAGCTGCTTAGAAGAGCCAAGGTGGCGCAGTGGTTAAATGCAGCACTGCAGGCTACTTCAGCTGACTGCAGTTCTGCAGTTCGGCTGTT